ATCTTTTTAGCTTTGAATTGGCTTGGGTTCACTCTAAACTCTTTTGATTTCTTTCAATTTTGGGTAGTTGCGTGATTGCCCCTCCAGATTGCCGCTGGCTTCTTCTCCCTGCCAGCTCCGGTTTTGCTTGTTAAATTCTAGTATGTTGACAGCTCCTCGAAGCTCGAAATTTCATCAATTATTGTTAAATTTGTCCATTTAATTCCTGCCCCATGTGCTGTCCGAATTTGTTGAAAAATGGGGATGAATTTGGGTAGTAATTAGAGCATAATTAGCTTAATTCATGTGTAAATTGCTTGAGTTGGCTCCTGTGATTTTTGGAGAGAAAATCCCGTGAATTAGCTAGTGTTTTGGCCAATTTTGGAAGTGCAGTTACTGTTCACGGCACTGTTCACATACTAATGGCCAACAATTAACAGGGATTTAAATAATTAGTTTGTAATATAAGAATAAATTTGGAGATGTCCGATCATGTGAAAATTGATAGAAATAGCATCGTGATTGGGTGATCTTAATGAAGTTTCACTTTGAATTTGTGATAGTATAGAATTAATCCTTGAATATTTTGATTAGGTTCTTGATCATTCTGTCAGTTTAGCACTGAGATCGAGTTTTTGGTTTTATGCGCGTGAGGTAAGTTAATTCATGGTAATGCCCGTACAGTTTTTAAAAGCATGTTTTGATTTGTTTTTGAAGTGGTGGCGGGACTAAACTCGTTTTACACAAATATGAGTATGACTGATTTGAAGTGAAATGTTTATGCTTTTCATTAAATTGAGCATGCCTACTTGACATTTGATTGATTGTCCTGATGATTTGAAAGTGATTGGTGAAGTATGATTTTTCTGTTAACTTCTGCCCGTTTTGTCTCCGATATGGTCATGTTATTATTGTGCCCGCTAGTTGGAGGTTTATAAACGCTAGCCCATGTTGACATGTTACTGATAGAACCGGTTCGTTTCTGTTATCTTGCTAGTGGGATTATACACTAGTAGTGGGATTATACACTAGTAAATCGTGTGCCTGTCAGTGGGAGGTTTATAACACTGGCCGTGACCTATAGAGGAAACGTCTATTTCGTTCCCATACTGTATCCGTTTTTCATGATTATACTTGTTGGCATGCTATAAGTTTAATAAGGGGCACTCCATATTTTACTTACTGAGTTTATCTTATAGTTTTTCCTTGTCCACCATTTCAGGAAGTGAAACCGAGGACGGGGAAACAACGGGAAGTGACGAGTTAGAAGGCTAGCCATATTGTAATTAGATATGAAATTTTAGATATAAATCATGATCTTGTAAGATAGAGTGTATTTGGAGATTTTATGATATGAGAGCCAATTTTATAATTTTATCTTCAGATTTTGTAGTATCAGATGTGAATTAGATAAGTTCCGAGCCTTGTGCATTTGTAGGATCCATTCACGAGTGCACAGTGTCTGTCGCACCTCGAATTCGGGTTTTGGGGCGTGACACTTGCAACTCCGGAAAAACTCCGGAAAAAAAAGCCCAAGCACTGACTTCCATTTCTTGGAAAAAAAAAAAATCAACAAAAGCTTAAATTTTTCCCTTTCTTTTCTTGTTAAAGAGCAAAATTAGGACTTAGAAATCTTCCCCCTGCAAAAAAATTTTAGATCTGCTCTGTTTCTTCCCCCTGCAAAAAAATTTCAGATCTGCTCTGTTTCTTCCCCTTTGTCTATCCGCTGTTCTGCTGGGTGTGAATCCTTCGGGATTTTTGTTTTCATGATTTCTTCTCCAATCTCCATCAGCCTCCATACCCGTCAGCTCCAATTTTGGCTGCTGGAAAAATTCTAGTATGTGGATGGCATCTTTAAGTCTGAAAATGGTTAATTAATTGTTGCCCTGAATCTTGGAATTTTCTGCCTTGATTTGTCCTTATACTGTTCGGATTTTTTGCTGAAAGAGGGAAGAATTCTGATAGCAGTGAAATGATTTTTCTTAGTTTAATTCATGTAGAAAAATTATCTTGATTAGCTGTTGTGAGGTTCTAGAGAAAAATCCCATGAATGAGCTATTGTTTTGCCAAATTTCTGGAAGTTGCAGTTACTGTTTACGGCGTGATTACTGTTCACAGATTACTATTCACGCACTAATGGCCAATGATAGGAAGGTTTAAATGTTTAGTTTTTAATAAGAATGAAATTAGAGGTGTCCGGTCATGTGGAGGTTAATATAAATAGCATCTTGATTAAGGGGTGATCCTAATGATATTTTCACTTTGCATTTATTGGTAGTACGGTATTAATTCTGGGGTATTTTGATTAAATTCTTGAGTGTTCTGTCACCTAAGCACTTGGCTTGAGTTTTCGATATTACGGATTTGAGGTAAGTAAATTATGGTAACGCCCTTTGATTTCAAAGCATATTTTAAATTATTTTTGAGATGATAGCAAGGTTTAAATTGATTTTATTAGCACCGAGCATGATTGATTTGAAATGAAATTGTTTTCATTTACATTGAGTAGAGCATGCCTACTTGGAATTGACTGAACTGCCCTAATGAACTGAGAATTTTGTAAATTTTGATTTTTCTGTTAAATCCATGCTCACATGGAAATTTTTTGATTTATTTCTGAAATTGAGATTGATTGTGAATTACGGATTTTTCTGTAAATCTTGCATGGTTTTGTCTTCGAGATAATCATGATTATTGACGCTCGATAGTGGGAGTTTACAAACGCTAACACATGTCGACATGTTTACCGATAGGATCAGTTCATTATGTAATCCTACCAATGGGACAATACATTAGTTATTATTGACGCCTACCAATGGGAGTTTGTTAAACACTGTTTATTACTGATGCTTGCCAGTGGGAGTTGTTAAACACTGGTTATTACTGACGTCTATCAGTGGAAATTTGTTAAACACTGGCCATGACTTATAGATGAGACTACTACTGAAGCTTATTCTGCATTAACTGTTTATCATTGAACGTTTTGTTACATTAAACTGTTTATCTGGCATGCTTAAATTTTACCCACAGGCTATCCATATTTATTTATTGAGTTATCTCATAATTTTTCCTTGTCTACCATTTCAGGAAGCGAAGTCAAGGACAGGGAAAAATGAGGGGAGTGACGAGTTAGAAGGCTAGCCATCTTGTAAATTGAACATAGATTTTAGATATAAATCACGATTTTGTAAGCTAGACTTTATTTGGAGATTTTATGATATCAGAGCAAATTTTAAAAATTTATCTTCAGATTTTGTTGTATCAGATTATGGTATGATAAGTTCCGAATCTTGTGCATTTGTGGGACCCTCTTACAAGTGTACGGCGTCTAGCGTGTCCCCGGATTGGGGTTTTGGGACGTGACAGCTGTTTTTACATAAAAAATTATTGCCGATTATGTCTGTTGATTAAGATATAATCGACAGAAATACTTGTATAATCGACAGTATTTTATATTGATTATATTGTGTTTTCTAGTAATGTATATATGTTAACATTTTAAATAATTTTAAATTTATAAAATTACATCATCTCTTACTCAATACTTCTTTTCAAGGCAA